TAAGACTTTGTGGGAGGCCAGGACACCATCCTGACCTGTGAGCTTATTCTTCTGGCTTTGCACTTTGAGACTAAAACAGTCACGAGTTTTACTGCCAGTGATATAAGACAGAACCCCCAACCACCTCCACCTGCTGTCCACAAGCCTGTTGGCCAAGTACCTACAGAGCTTCCAAGGACTCTTAGCCATGAAAATGAGCCCTGGCTCCTGCCTGTTTGCAGAAGACTGGCAGCTGCCCAGCTGACTGTGACCGAAGGGTTAGCCCCAGCACCCTGCCTGCCCTGCCTGACGAGCCCATTACTTTGCTTCTTCCTGTCTTGAGCTTGAGCTGCCTTCGGGCAGTTTGCTTTCAAGGACAGGGAAGTCCCCACTCTTGCCCTGACTCCTGGACTCCGGAGGACTGAGCCCCCACCGGAAAAGGGCTGGGGCTTGGATCTGGGGTAGGGGATAAAGGGGCAAGAAGTAAAATGTTTTGAGCACAACAGGCCGTGTGTGAAGCAGAGCGAAGGCTATCAGCCCTTGGTCTCCCTCTCACTTCAGAAGTCCAGAGCTACGGGACCAGCAGTTGGCCTAACAGCTATGTCACTAGACTCCCATGTAGTCGACCATGGTTTGAGTCCCAGACCCAGTGACTTAAACTCATACCGGACATAGGTGTGTGCGAACCCAAGATCCTAGGAGGAGAATGGAGGAGGGATTACAGCATGGCCATGCCCCCAGGGGGGTGATTTCTCACTTTCTGTCTAGCACACAAGCCCTGAAGCAAAAACCTCTGGGGTGAGGTGTGTGTGTGTGTGTGGGGGGGAGTCCAGAGCCACCAGCAGAGCTTCCTTTATTAAAAAAAAACGACGAAACAGATCTGTACATATTTACAGGCTCAGGGCAAGGAGGCAAGCGTCCGACAGCAGGGGCACAGGCCACTCACTTCTTGGAGAGTTTGACTTGCTTGTGCTTGGGGGGTGCCCACTTGAGGCAGACAGAGTCCACTGTGAGAAGAAGAGGTGTAAGAGGCAGGGCTGGGCCCCTGGCCAGGCCTGCTCACACCTGGCTGCTCCACTCTGGGCCCAGGCCAGGTTTCACCTCCTCCAGGTGAGAACAAAAGGGCAGACTGAGTCCTGGGGAGGGGGCAGGGAAGCCCAGGAATGAGTAGCCTGCCCCAGGCTTTGGTCCTGGAAGCTAGTCAGACTGGTTTGGGATCATGTGATGCCAATAAGGAGCCCTTGCTCCCAGCAGTCCTTACACCTACCCTAAGCCCCCAGCATACACACACACACACACACACACACACACACACACACACACACACACGGCAGCCTCCCACCCACCTGTGATGGGTGGCTTCTTATACTGGGCACTTTTGAGGTGCTCCTCTACCAGCTTGGGTGTGACACAGATCACATGCTGGCCCTTCCAGTACTTGACCATGTTGAGGGACTGGAGAGTACTGATGATGTCATTCTGGGTGATACTGGTCATCTGGCTGCAGAGAGGGGTTAGAGCAGATGAGATGGTCCCCTTGTGGTGTCTGCTGGGATAGCAGGTGACGAGAAGACAGGATCGTGGCCACTCTTAGGAGAGCCCATCCTACAAGAGGTCAAGCATGTCTCCCTCACAAGGACCTTGGTGGACACCACACCCTGGACACAGTTGGGGACCAGGCCTCACCTAAGGTCCTTGATGGACAATGTGCCCCGGAAGTCTCGCAGGATCTCCAGCAGGACCCATGACCAGTAGCTGCGGTAGCTGAGTTTGCCCAGGTCAGACAGCGGCTTCTCTGGAGAACCCACTGTGCTCTCTAGCTTGGAGAGCTCATAACCTGGCAGTGGTACAAAGGGGATCCTTAGGATCCACCCACCCTGGCAGCCACCCTCCACCACAGCTGCCCCCACCCCAGGCAGGCCAGGATCCACTCACTGAAAGCGATGAGAAACTTCCCATAGCCACGGCGCTGGTAGGGGGGCAGGGTCAGGATGCAGGCCACGTTGTTTCCATCTGGAGACTCCTTCTCCTGCAGGGGTTGGGTGCTCAGAACCTTTGGGGAGGCTCGGCCCCAACTGGTTTATACCACTTGCCCTCCCCCAATCTGGGCCTCCTGATCCAGCACCTTCGAGAAGTAGCCAACGATGTGGGCCCCTTGCCTGTCCACCTCAGTCAAGATGTAAAACACGAAGGGCTCCACGTCGAAGTATAGTGTTTTGTGGTCCAGGAAAAGCTTGGCCAGCAGACACAGGTTCTGACAGTAAATCTGAGGGGTGGGGACGGAAACGGGTCAGGGAGCGTGTACAACACCTCACCCGCCCCCTAGCCTGGGCATGGCTGCCACTCTGCTCTGTAAGTGCCAGGACGGTGGGGAGTGGGCTCCTGACCAAAACAGTGGCATTCAGACCTAGAAGGAGTTTTCGAGTCCATTCCTAATGGACAGGGAAGCTAGATCTTAGAGAGCTGTGAGCACTCCGAGAGGTAATGGCAGAGTGGGGCGAGTCACAGCCACCACCAGGGAGTGCTGAATGTGGGCCAGGTGCATAACTTGGTTCTATCTTCAAGGACATTAACTCTTGTTTCAGATCTGAAAATGGGCTCAGAGGAAATAAGTGGCTTATCCGAGGTCCCAGGGGTGGTGAGGGCCATGGCAGAAATTCAAACTGGTACATGTGTCCCCAACATATAGCACAAAGCTCAGCATAAAGCCAGATGCTTGGTAAAAGCTGAGTGGAGGAGTCAAGCTTGACCCCAAGCCTGAGCTCTGTCTATCCACTTGGGCACACTCGCTGCTGGGCCTCACCAGTCTCCCTGCGGCAGACCCAGACACCCACCAAGGCCAGCACAGGGGGTTCAATGGGACCTTGAAGTTGGCTTCAAGACTAAGGGGCTCTCTGGCTTACGTTGCCCTTTCACATCCACATTTTCATCTGACTCTTCCACTGTGAGCCCAGCATCTCTCACATGATTTTACCCCACTTAGGAGGAAACTGGAGCTCTGGGAGGGGAAGTGCTTTCCTGAGGCCTCAAAAATAGCAGAGGGGAGAGCTGAAAAGAACCCCCCACCTTGCCAGCAGGGGCCCTTTCTGCGTTCCACCTGTTCCTGCCCAGGAAAGCAGAGCAGATCTTCAAGGACATTAACTCTTGTTTCAGATCTGAAAATGGGCTCAGAGGAAATAAGTGGCTTATCCGAGGTCCCAGGGGTGGTGAGGGCCATGGCAGAAATTCAAACTGGTACATGTGTCCCCAACATATAGCACAAAGCTCAGCATAAAGCCAGATGCTTGGTAAAAGCTGAGTGGAGGAGTCAAGCTTGACCCCAAGCCTGAGCTCTGTCTATCCACTTGGGCACACTCGCTGCTGGGCCTCACCAGTCTCCCTGCGGCAGACCCAGACACCCACCAAGGCCAGCACAGGGGGTTCAATGGGACCTTGAAGTTGGCTTCAAGACTAAGGGGCTCTCTGGCTTACGTTGCCCTTTCACATCCACATTTTCATCTGACTCTTCCACTGTGAGCCCAGCATCTCTCACATGATTTTACCCCACTTAGGAGGAAACTGGAGCTCTGGGAGGGGAAGTGCTTTCCTGAGGCCTCAAAAATAGCAGAGGGGAGAGCTGAAAAGAACCCCCCACCTTGCCAGCAGGGGCCCTTTCTGCGTTCCACCTGTTCCTGCCCAGGAAAGCAGAGCAGCCGACATGGGCCGGGCCCAGTGGGCTCCCACAGGTCACCCATAATAAAGGCCTAAGTTTTCTAAGCACCTACTAGATGCCAGACACTGTGCTAAATACTTGACATTTACTGTCTCATTTATTCCACCACAACTGATTGGGTAAATATTATGACTCCGGTCTTACATATGAGGAAACAGAAACAAAACAACGTTAAGTAATTTGTATAGGTCAGCAATGTGAAGCCAAAAGCCATTCCAGGGGCCTGCCCTCTTCATCGTAACTATTCCTTCCTTGAGAAACTGGGACACTCATTGAGACCCTTCCAGTCTGACCAAGCACAGGTCAGCTTCTCAAAGATGAAAAAGCATCCCCAAGCCCCTCCCCCTGACCTCCCCAAGAGCTGTTCTGCCAAGAACAAGGAACTCAGCCGTCCTTAGCCACAAAGTGCTCAGGGAGGAAATGCACAAAGCAGTTCGCTCCCAGGTGTTTGTAAAAATAAATACCGTTCTCAGACAAAGAGAGAAAGTTCTTCTAATAGCAGTCTCAGGGAAGACTATCTCCACTCTGGGTTCTAGAACTACCCAAGTCTAAACTCCCCCCTCAGAAGAAAGGTACTTGGGACAGAAGGGAAACCCATCAGAGCTAGCACCGCAAGGCTGTGTTCATGATGCACATAGGCCATAGGCAGAGCGCCAGGCTGAGCAAGACCTGTGTCACAGGCCCTGTCCCAGGAGGCTCACCCTAAGGCTGGCTTCTCCCTCAGGGACAGTGAGGAGCACAAGGTGCTCAGTGCCCAGAGCCCCCGGCCATCAGCTCACCTTATGGTCTTTGCCGTCCACCTCATACACGGAGATGTTGCTCTTGCGATAGATCTCCTTCCCGGGGGGCTGCCGCCATTGACACTGCCCCTGGGGATGGGATGAGGAATCACAGACTTGAAACTCACAGGTCCTCTGCTAGGCCACTGTTTGGCTTGGAGCAAGGGTCTCTGCCTCTGTTTTCCCACCTGTGGAGCCTAGGCTCAACTCTTCACCTACATGGAGTAATCCTCCCAACCACTTTAGGAGATAGATCCTACCTTAGCCTACACAGAGGGGCTAAGTAATTCTCAGTCCCCTCAATCCACATGGCTCTCTACTGTGACCTAGCTTTAAAAGGGCACTCATTTTTTTTTTTAATTCTTTTTTTTTTTTTTTCTGAGAGAAATCTTGGGACCAGCAGTTAGCATAATGGCTATGTCGCTGGACTCCCATGTGGTCGACCGTGGTTCAAGTCCCGGACCTGGTGGCTTAAACTCATGCTGAGCACATGTGCGCACGTGCCCAAGATCCTGAGAGGAAATGGAGGAGAAGAGACTGGGGCATGGCCATCCCCCCACTTGGGGAATGATTTCTCACTTTCTATCTCTCTGTCTCTTTCTGTCTTTCTGGTGAGTGCAAACGCTCTATAGCAGACACCTCTCAAAAAAAAAAAAAAAAAAAAAAAAAAAGAGAGATCTTTGCTATAGGGCATGTGGGCTCACCAGAAAGACAAAGACAGACAGACCAAAAAACAAGAAATCAGGGACTAGCAGTTGGCATAATGGCTATGTCACTGGACTCCCATGTAGTTGACAGTGGTTTGAGTCCCAGACCCGGTGGCTTAAACTCACGCCAGGAGCATGTGCATGCATGCCCAAGATCCCAAGAGGAGAATGGAGGAGAAGGGGTTGTGGCATGGTCATCCTCCCTGGGGGGTGATTTCTCGCTTTCTGTCTCTATGTCTCTCTCTGTCTGTCTGGCGAGCACACGCGCCCTATAGCAAAAACCTCTCCAAAAAAAGAGAGAAATCATCCCCCAGACTGGATGGCCACGCCACAATCCCTTTTCCTCCATTCTCTCAGGATTTTGGGCACGCACACACATGCATCCAGTGTGAGGGTTTTATTTTAATTTGTTTTTTGTTTTTAAAAAGAATGATTTATTTAATTCCATTTGTTATTATTATCTTTTTAATTTGACCAGAGAGAGAGAGAAAAAAGGAAAGGGAGAAAGTAAGCCACCAGGTCTCGGACTCAAACCGTGGTCGGCCATGTGGGAATCCAGCGCCTTTAACTACCATGCCACCTGCCAGCCCCAACCAGCGTGAATTTTAAGCCACCAGGTCTGGGACTTGAACCACAGTTGATCATATGGGAGTCCAGCAACATAACCATTACACCATCTGCTGGTCCCCTAAACGGGCACCATTAAAGGATTACTGCCCCCATTCCATAGAAGAAACAGGTCTGGAGAGAAGCAGCAGTTAGCCAAGGTCACCCTTCTAGTAACGGCAAAGCCAGGCCCAGAATCTGGGTCTCTGGACCCTGAAGCGGCTTTCTTGGACTTGACTCTTCTGGACTTGTCTCTGTTCCCTGGTGCTGCTGGCTCAGTTGCTCTATGACTGAGAAGCTTGTCTCTCTCATCAGGCCCAACCTGGCATAGCCTGGCATAGCCCAGCCCGGCCCGGCCTGGCTCCGCCCTGCCCGGCCCTGCCCAGCCCTGCCCAGCCCGGCCCAGCCCAGCCCAGCCCAGCCTTACCAAGTGGAAGCGGTAGCTCTTCTCATATTTCATGTATTTGAGGCAGTACTCGCAAAGCCAGAGCTTGGGCTGTTTCCCATAGTCTTCGGGGAACGGTGAGAAGTACCAGGCATCAATTTCGTAGTTCCCGATGTGGATCTTGTCCACATACTTCACCTTGGTGATCTGCAGGCAGGGTGGGTGTGGGGGCCATTGCATGGCTTGGAATGGGCAAGGAAAGAAAGGCGAAGGGAGTACTTGCAGTCAGGACTTGGCTTACCGCCTCGTGTTCCTTCTCCAGTGCTGCTGTTGTGGGATCCATTTCTGCATAAGTCTGTGCAATGAAAGAGAAGTGGTCAGGGGCCAGCTCTGTAGCACAGTGGTTAAGCATTGTGCATTGGGACCAGATTCTACATGGCAGACCATAGTTCAAATCTCAACCTGGGCAGCTTGAGAAACATTCCAGGTGTGTGTACATGCCCAGAATCCTGACAGCAAGCGATGGAGAAAAGACGATCACAGCATTACCATGTCCCCCTGGAGGGCAGTTCTCTCCCTCTCTCTCTCTCTCTCTCTCTCTCTCTAGCAAGTGCATGTGCCCTCTGTCGATAAAAACAGTAATAATAAACAGAAATGGTGGTAAGGCTATCCTCCTCTCTCCCAGCATCCACAATGCTTCTCTACTGTCTTTCAGACCTTATCTTCCAGATGACAATAATAACCACACATACAGCTAGCTCGCTTCGCTTGGTTCAAAGGCGGGCCAGTTCCAGCTCCTCTCCAGTCGGTCTGCCCACCCCAGACTCCCAGACACCCCTGATGCCCAAGTCTGGATCTACTGACAGCTTAACAGGGCTAGAATCAGGAGGCCTGGTTCCCATCCTTGGGCTGATAAGAGCTGCAGTTTTACAGTGGAGGTAATTCAGCTCTGCCAAAGTTGTCGCGAGACTCATGTAATAATGGGGGTTGGGGCGCTGGACTCCCAGCGGTGGTTGACCACAGTTCGAGTCCCAGACCTGGTGGCTTGAAACTGTTTTGGGATAAGAGCATGCATGTATATGCCCAAAGCCCAGGAGGGCACTGGAGGAGGGGGGACTGCAGTGTGGTCATCCCCCCCGGGGGGAAATTTCTCACTTCCTGTCTCTCTGGCGAGCGGACACACCCTATAACAAGAATCTCTCAAAAATAAACAAACAAACAAATAAATAATGGGTCTCATCTTCCAAGCCCATGGTAAGAACTGCTGCCGACTCCCCAGTGTACCCGGACCCCTTTCCTGAGTACCAGAAGCTTGCCCATGGGTCCCTACCTTAGGAACGTCAGACCCTGGATGCCCAAGAACCTCATCAATTCTCCCTGTAAACCTATTCCCCTTCCATCTCACTAGGAATGTCATCCTCAGTCCAACCCTCCTAGACCAACACCTGGCCCTGCTCTCAAGATTCCGCCCCTCTCGGCCTGGCTTCCAATAGTAGCCATGTCTGATAGTTAACATCAATGCTGCCTCTTTTTTTGTTTTGAGATTTCATTGGTTGTGCCAAAGATCAGTACACAGATATTTCAATGTGTACACAATTCTTCACATCCGTATCAGAAATCTAAAAAACCATGTAACACAATCTTTTTATTTATTTACTTATTTATTTTTGAGATTTTTGCTCTAGAGTGCACATATTCGCCAGAGAGACAGAACGTGAGAAATCACCCCCTCCAGTGGGAATGACTGTGCCACAATCCCTTCTCTTCCACTCTCCTCTTGAGATTTTGGGCACACACACATGCCTAGCATGAGTTTCAAGCTGCTGGGTCCAGATCTCAAACCGTGGTTGGCCACATGAAGTCCACCAGCACCTTCACCACTATACCACCTGCTGGCCCACATGATTCTTCTTAAAATGGTTATTCCAGCCTTTTGGCCAGAACTGCCATCTTCCAGAAATTAACCAAAATGATGAACAAAAAGAGAAAGAGGAGAGGCACCCAATACATGGTCTCTAGGCCTTTTAGAAAACATGGAGAGGTTTTTTGGCAACATATATGCGAATCTATAAGAAAGGTGATATTGTAGACATCAAGGGAATGGGTACTGTTCAAAAGGGAATGCCCCACAAATGTTACCAAGGCAAAACTGGAAGAGTCTACAATGTTACCCAGCATGCTATTGGCCTTGTTGTGAACAAACAAGTTAAGGGCAAGATTCTTGCCGAGAGAATTAAAGTGCATATTGAGCATATTAAGCATTCTAAGAGCAGAGATAGTTTCCTAAAACGTGTGAAGGAAAATGACCAGAAAAAGAAGGAAGCCAAAGAGAAAGGTCCCTGGTTCCAACTAAAAAGCCAGCCTGCTCCACCCAGAGAAGCACACTTTGTGAGAACCCATGGAAAGGAGCCTGACTACTGGAACCTATTCCCTATGAATTCATGGCATGATGGGTGTTAAAAATAAACGAATCTGGTCTATTAAAAAAAAAAAATCAACAGTTATTCCAGTGACATTCCAGCTTCAAGTTTGCAGGCAAATCGTCCTTAAGATATCAAGTACATAGGGACAAGCAGTTAGCGTAATGGCTATGTCGCTGGACTCCCACGTAGTCGACCGCGGTTCAAGTCCCAGACCCGGCGGCTTCACGCCGGGCGCGTGTGCGTGCGTGCCCAAGATCCTGAGAGGAGAATGGAGGAGAAGGGATTACGGCGTGGCCATCCCCCCTTGGGGGTGATCAACTCCTCCTCGCTAGATTCAATTGACACCCCCTGCCAAATCAATCCTTCTAAAAACACTGCTTAAAGAATTATCTATTTGGGACCAGCAGTTAGCGTAATGGCTGTCGCTGAACTCCCATGTAGTCGACTGTGGTTCGAGTCCCGGACCCAGTAGCTTAAACTCACGCCAGGTGTGTGTTCGTGCATGCCCAAGATCCCAAGGAGAATAGAGAAGGGATTGCGGCGTGGCCATCCCCCCTGGGGGGTGATTTCTGTCTCTTTGTCTCTCTGTCTTTCGGGCGAGCGCATGCACCCTGTAGCAAAAACCTCTCTCTCAAAAAAAAAAAAATGATATCAAGTGCCAATATCTTCAAATATTGAAAGTCGTCACATAAGTCCCACTAAATCACAGTGCATTAACAAGATTATTAGGAAAACTGGACTACCATGATCAAAGATGTTACAGAGCGTACACAATTCTAACAGGGAGGGCAAGAATCAAGAAGCCCTTTTCTTTTTTCTTTTCATCAGAGGGCATGTGTGCTCACTGAAGAGACAGAGAGGGAAAGTGAGAAATCATGCCCCCACACCTCCAATGGGAAGATGCTGCAATGCAATCCCTTCTCTTATATTCTCTTGGGATTTTAAGCATACATTCACACATACCCAAAGTGATTTTCAAGCTGCTGGGTTCAGGACTTGAACCACGATCATCAGTGTGGGAGACCCGCTCCTTAACCACCACACCACCTGCTAGCCCCCAAGGAGTAGTTTTTCTTTAGGAAACAATTCTACTAAAAAACAGCATAAGAAGGGGGCTAGCTTGCTTTCTCACTTTTCCTCCCTATCTCTGTCTCTCTCTGGTCAAATTTTAAAATAATAAATACAATTAAATAATTCTTTAAAAAATAAAAACAACATGAGAATAGTAGCTTACTCTACCTCTCTGACATCGCTGGTCAGGAATTCTCTGTCCCACTCCAAACGGTCACCGCCACAAGGTTTGGAGAACTGACTAGGCCTCAGACTCCCTGCCTCCACTGTCGACCCTCTCAAATCATATCGATACTGCTCTTTTTTCAGCCTTCGTACTTTTACACGTGCAGTTCCTTCCACCTTGAGAATGCCCTTCCTCCCCCTACTGCCACCAGAAATCAACCTGGCACAGAGTATGAGTCAGGTGAAACCAGATGGGCGGGGTTTTATGAGGTAGCGTATGTCAGTATTTTTCTCATGCTCTTTTCTGTCCTTCAAAGCCCAACATCCCTCCCACCAGGAGCCCTGACTGGATTCTTTTTTTTTTTCTTTTTTTGGAGAGGTTTTTGCTATAGGGCGCGTGTGCTCACCAGACAGAGACAGAGAGACAGAAAGCAAGAAATCACCCCCCAGGGGGGATGGACACGCCGCAATCCCTTCTCCTCCATTCTCCTCTTGGGATCTTGGGCACGCACGCACACGCGCCTGGCATGAGTTTAAGCCACCAGGTCCGGGACTCGAACCGCGGTCGACTACATGGGAGTCCAAGGACATAGCCATTACACTAACTGCTGGTCCCGTGACTGGATTCTAATCTAGAAAACACCCATTTTCCAAGTTAGGAGCCAAGTGGTCAACAACACAATGTCCCCCAATTATTCCCACTGGTTTCCTCTATTTTCTAAGTCCTTAAAAAGCAGAGACTAAAAGTCACATTGGATGCACAGCACAGCCTGTTCTAGGCCAGACTCGGTAGGAGCCAAGTGTAACCTAACAATAAAGAGGGACCCAACAAGGCCTCTGACCTATCCCAGAGTAGCCTGTGGGCTTGCCCTGGAGTTGAGAAGGGAGGAAGAAGTCCGTGTTTTATCCAGAACTCTGCCTATGTAGCCTCATTTAACCTTTTCAGTAACCCTTAGATAGAGCACTACTATTTTGATTTTTGAGCAGAAGGCAGGAGTGGGGTCACTTGCCCTTGGGGACCAACTAGCTGCTATTTATTCCAGTGTCAAGTATTCCATAGACAATGTTTCATTTAGGCATCGCAATCAGCCTCTGAAACAAAAGTGTTCATTATCTCCACTATACAAAAAGAGGAAACAGGCACAAAGAAACGAACTCACAGAACTGGCACTCAGAGCTGGACATGGGCGCCAATCAATCTGTCCAATTTTCAGCCTAACTATCGCCAAGATGAGGGGCAGTGTTCCTCCTCCCAGGTCTCTCCTCTCTTAAGTCTAAGAAAACACAATCCTCTTTTGCAAATGTGTCAAAGAACTACAAAAACACTACTTTTCTTTCTTTTTAAAAAAGGATTATTAGGGGCCAGCAGGCGGTGTGGTGGTTAAGGGTGCTGGACTCCTACATGGCCGTTCATGGTTCAAGTCAGACCTGGTGGCTTTGCTTGCTTTCTCACTTTCTCTCTCTTTCTCTGTCCCTCTCTGGTCCAACCAGCAGTGAATAAATGGATAAATAAAGTTAAATAAAATAATTCTTAAAAAAAAAAAAGAATTATTGGGGCCGGCAAGTGGCATGGTGGTTAAAGGCGCTGGACTCCCACATGGCCGACAACGGTTCAGGTCTCGGACCTGGTGGATTGCTTTCTCACTTCCTCTCTCTCTCTCTGTCTCTCTCTGATCAAACTGGAAAATAATAATGATAATAATAATAAATAAAGTTAAATAAAATAATTGTTTAAAAAAAAGAATTCGGGATCTTGGGCACGCACGCACACGCGCCCGGCGTGAGTTTTAAGCCACCGGGTCCGGGACACGAATCGCGGTCGACTACGTGGGAGTCCAGCGACATAGCCATTACGCTAACTGCTGGTTCCCTTAATTACTATTATTTTGGAGAGATTTTTGCTATGTGTGGTGCATGCGCTCACCAGAAAGCGAGAAATCACTCCCTGGGGGATGGCCATGTCACAATCCCTTCTCCTCCATTCTCCTCTCGGGATCTTGGGCACGCACGCACACGCGCCCGGCGTGAGTTTTAAGCCACCGGGTCCAGGATTCAAACTGCAGTCAATTAAATGGGAGTCTAGTGATGTAGCCATTACACCATCTGCTGGTCCCTATTATTATTATTATTATTTAATTTGCTATAGGTCATGTGTGCTCACGAGAGAAAGAAAGAGACAGAGAAAGTCAGAAAGAAAGTTGCCAGGTCCAAGACTTGAACCATAGTTGGTCATGTGGGAGTGTAGTACCTTAACCACCATATCACCAACCTGCTGGCCCTAACACTACTTTTTTTTTTTTTTGAAAGAATTACTTATTTAATTAATTATCTTTAATTTGACTAGAGAGAGAGTGGGAAAGCAAGCCACCCAGTCCAGAACTTGAACTGTGGTCAGACATGAGGGAGTCCAGCGCCTTAACCGCCATGCCACTTGCCGGCCCCAACACTACTTTTCTTAAATGCTGTAATTTACTTAGAATTAAACATTAATGGGACCAGCAGTTAGCGTAATGGCTATGTCGCTGGACTCTTATGTAGTCAACCACGATGCACATCCTGGACCCGGTGGCTTAAACTCACGCTGGGCACATATGCGTGCGTGCCCAAGATCCCAAGAGGAGGATGGAGGAGAAGGGATTGTGGCGTGGCCATCCCCCCTGGGGGGGTGATTTCTCACTTTCTATCTCTCTCTCTCTCTCTCTTTCTGGTGAGCGCACACGCCCTATAGCGAAAAACCTCTCAAAAAACAAAAAAACATTAATTAGGCCTGAAGAACCTTGCTGATTGTTAATTCACCAATTGCTTTCTGTTTTTCTTTTAAAGAGTTTTTTTTTTTTTGCTCTAGGGCACATGCACTTGCTGGAAAGACAGAGACAGAAAGAGAGAAATCACCCCCCCTGGGGGGATGGCCCCAACACAATCCCTTCTCTTCCATTCTCCTCTCAGGATCTTGGGCACGCACACACACATGCCCAGTATGAGTGTTAAGCCACCAGGTCCGGGAATCGAACTGCAGTCGACTACATGGGAGTCCAGTGATGTAACCATTTCACCATCTGCTGGTCCCTCACTGATTGTTTTATTACCATTCTTTGACTTTATGGCCAAGGACCCATTATCATCTACCCTGCTGACTGCCAGCTCAGAGGTACAGCTCTGTTCAGTGTAAACGAGTCAAGGAACTAACAGAATCTTAACACTGTGCCGGGCAATAGAGTAGCCACTAATCACATGTGGCTCTTTACATTCATTCTAAGTTTCTAAACTTTTTAAAATTTTGCCCATAGGGTATGTGCACTCTGTGGAGAGAGACAGAGAAGAGAGAGGGAAAGTGAAAAAGCATCCTCCCCGCCATGGAGGATGGTCACACTGTAATCCCATCCCCCCATTTCTCCTTCTTTGGGGACTCTGGGCATGCACACAAACATTCAGTGCATGTGTCTCAAGCCACAGGGTCCTGGCTTTGAACTGAACAATTGGCTACATGGGATCCAGTCGCCTTAACCACCAGCCACAGGCTGGCCCTAAAACTTTAATTCTTAGTCATGCTGGACACATTTCAAGTGCTCAGTAGCCGGAAGTGACTAGTGGCTACTGTACTGGATACAACAGCTACAGGACATTCCCATTATAACAGGAAGTTCAAACCGACAGCACTAACTTAGACCATGAGAGGTCTTTCTAGCTTAGGGTATTTCAAATTTTTCAGTCCTACCCACAGTACTAAGTGCAGTTAATATTGTTAAGTCAACTGACATACTCATGTCTATATGTACATGTATTTATATATGAAGTAATAGCTTCTCTAAGCAATACTTTTTTTTTTTTTTTAAAGACTTTTGCCATAAGGTGCACATGCACTCACCAGAGAGAAAGAGACAGTGAGATGGAAAGTGAGAAATGCTCCCCAAAGGGGATGACCATGCCGCAATCCCTCCAATCTCCTCCTGAGATTCTGGGCACATGCACACACACCTGCTCAGCATGATTTTCAAGTCACCAGCTCCAGGACTTGAAAAGCAGTTGTCCATATGGGAGTTTGGCTCCCTAATCACACCACCTGCCAGCCCCCTAAAATAAATAATTCTAAAATTTAAATGCCAGTCACACCCACTGACCTGACTTTGCAATCTAGTAATGGGCTGTGCCCCACAATTGGAAAAATATCTGCACAATACACAACGAGCACGCACTCAAGACAAAGTTGTGACACTGGGGGATCAGCAGTTGGCGTAATGGCTATATTGCTTGACTCCCCAGTCGACCACAGTTCAAGTCCCAGATCTGGTGGCTTAAACTCATGCCAGGTGCATGTGCGTGCACGCCCAAGATCCCGAGAGGAGAACAGAGGAGAAGGGATTGCGGTGTGGCCATCCCCCCCGGGGGGTGATTTCTCGCTTTCTATCTCTGTCCTTCTGGCGAGTGTATGCACCTAGAGCAAAAAAGCCTCTTTTAAAAAAAAATTGTGACGCTGGAACTAATCGATGTCTGAGTGACTTGAGAGCTTGATAACCCTGTTCTGGTTTGTGCTCCCCATTTTATATGTGAAGAAAATGAGGCTCAGAGTGGGAGGAAAGTAACCCCCCAGGGGACATCCTAGAGTGACGAGAACTCAGGTTTTGGGGATCAGCAGGTGGCATGGTGGTTAATTGCACTGGACTCCCACATGGCCGACCATGGTTCAAGTCCCAGACCCGGTGGCTTGCTTTCTCACTTTCCCTCCCTCTCTCACTCTGACTCTCTCTGGACAAATTAAAATAAATAAGTGAATAAATAAAGTTAAATAAAATAATTCTTAAAAAAAAAAAGAACCCAGGTTTTGGAGACAAATGGCTTGAGTGTCTAGGATGTGCCAAAGTCATGGTTAGGGACTTGGGCTCTGAATTAGACAATCTAATAGGCATGTCTAATCCCTGACAGGGTTCTTAAACCTCTTCATGCCTGTCCTATAAACTGGGGATAATAATACTGCCTACCATCACAGGGTTCCTGGGAAGTATCAGTGAGATCATGTAGTAAAATACTTAATCTAAGGAGCCAGTAGGTGGTGCAGTTGTTTAGGCACTGGACTCCCACATGGATGACTGTGGTTTGAGTCCCTGACCTGGTAGCTCGCCTTCTCACCCAACCCTGCATCCCCTTACCTTGTTTCTACGGTGAACACATATGCCCTATAGCAAATTTAATAATAATAAATGAAATAAAAAATTAAAAAAAAAAAAACCTTCACCTAATACTTCAATTCATAGGCCAATAAGTGCTTGGCATTATTATTCAAATCCAGCCTACCCTTTTACTAGTTGTGCAACCTTGGACATGTTACTTAACTTCTCTGAGCCTGCTTCCTCATTTGAGAATAGAAATAATTATCCTGTGCTACTGAATTGTTGGGGAGGATCTGATGAGCTTATACAAGCACAGTACTCGACACAATGCTGGGCAACAGCAAGTACCCAATATCATTCATTTTCCTCCTCCTCTTTGGAATTCAAGTTGGTCTGTCTGAGAGAACAGGTAACAAAAAACATTATCATTGCAGGAGGCCTGAGTTCCAGTCCCAACTGCGCCATTCCTTGTGATACTGTAGCCAAGGGCTTGCCCTCTCTGAGCCTGCATTTTCTAGCCTATTAAGAGGAAGTA